CTGGGTTCAAGCGATTCTCTTGCCTCAGCCTCTGTAATAGCTGGGATTACAGGCACCCATCACCAGGCCTGGCTAATTTTTGGATTTTTAGTAAACATGGGGTTTCACCATCATAGCCAGGCTGATCTAAAACTCCTGACCTCAGGTGATCCATCTACCTTGGCCTCCCAAAGTGCTGGGCTTACAGGTGTGAGCCACCATACCTGGCCTATAAGTGTGTTTTGAGCTATGGTTTCTGCATAAAATTATGTAGTCTCCCTCATATTTTAAGAATCACTTCCAACACAATGAATAAATGGAAAAAATTAAAAATTAAAAAAAGAATCACTTCAAGTAATTTTCACATAAATTTCAAATAATTTTCAACCCAAATCTTTCATGTTCTCTTCTGCTTTTTGTTTTATTCTGTAACACCTAGAAACTTTCCTGATCCAAAGTGAGTTCTTGTTTGTTTAATAAAGAAGGAGAGGAATAAATGACTCATTGCATATTTCTGAACAAGGCACTTAGCAAGAACCTTATTTGTCACTCCCCTTTGGTACATTCATTATTAAACATAAATTATGCATACAGATTCACAGGAAAGGCTAGCAACTAAGAATTAAATAGAACACTTTTTAATTTAAGCCTCTACTGCTCTAAAGAACAGCAGCAACAAGACATACTTGCTAAGACTAACTAGGATATTTTTCAATGAACATCAGTGGAACAAATAAATGGCTCTTGCTATAGTAGGGAAAGATGACTATTTTTGAATGAGAGTGTCTTGAAAGCACTTTCCCCAAAGTTATTGAACACCTATTACATCCCATTCACTGTCCTAGGTGATGGTCTCTCTGAAAGAGGATTCTGAGTAATGACTTTTATTGTTAAATATTAATTGCATTATATAATCTATAACTGTTGGTATTTTTCTACACCCAAACAGGAATTTAAAGTATGAGATTCTAACCCTAAATATAAGTGATTCCCATTTATCAGGAACCAGTTATGACTAATTCATTCAAGCCTCAGAGGCTTAACTTTTTATTGTTGTTCTGCCTCTGATTTGCTATCTCACTTGGAGAACTATGCAAAGTTAACTGAACCAGCATTACAGCCTGAATCCACCTGCAGGCTTTTAGACAGGACAAAGCCATGATTTCATGTTGTTAAATTTGTTAAGTAAACATAATAAAATAACCAAGATGCCTAAACTAGAGAACAAGGAACTTCAGGGAAAAATATTATTCCTTCTTCTCTAAAGATGTAAATCTTAAGTCAAAATGCAGATACTTTTTTTTTTTGTAAATGCCCACCATCTGAAGGTTAGATCATACACCAAGAATTAAACGAAGAAAGGGAAAGGAATAAAGAATTGTAGCCGGGTGCAGTGGCTCACACCTGAAATCCCAGCACTTTGGGAGGCCAAGGTGGAGGATCACCTGAGGTCAGGCATTTGAGACCAGCCTGGCCAACAAGGTGAAACCCTATCTCTACTAAAAATACAAAAAATTATCCGGGTGTGGTGGCATGTGCCTGTAATCCCAGCTACTCACGAGTCTGAGGCAGGAGAATCACTGGAATCCAGGAGGCGGACATTGCAGTGAGCCAATATTGTGTCACTGCACTCCAGCCTGGGCAACAAGAGTGAAACTCCATCTCAAAACAAACAAACAAGAATTCCATTCTGTCAAGCTTGCATTTGAGGTACTGATAAAACTTTTAGGTGGAGATATTCAATAGGCAGGTGAAAATGTAGATCTGGAGCTCAGACTAGAGATTTTGGCAGACAATTAGTTTAGAATGGCAGGTTGGATGCTTATTAGCATTGAAGGAAAAAGAGTGACAGTGAAGTCTGAAAGGTTGGTGGGGAGCCAAGTAGCTGGCCATTCCATCTGGTGGGTGCATCATACCTGAGGCATAGGGGATACTTCTGAAGTTCTTCTGAATGGATAGTGCTCAGGAGCCACGTAAGAGCACTACATTCTGACTATGATCGGCAAGAAATAATTTCTTAAAAAGTCAACCATATGGCTGGGCGTGATGGCTCAGGCCTATAATCCCAGCATTTTGGGAGGCCACGGCAGGCGGATCACCTAAGGTCAAGAGTTTGAGACCAGCCTGGCCAATATGGCAAAACCCCGTCTCTACTAAAAACACAAAAATTAGCTGGGTGTGGTGGTATGCACCTGTAATCCCAGATACTTGGGATGCTGAGGCAGGAGAATCACTTGAACCTGGGAGGCAGAGGTTGCAGTGAGCCAAGATCACCTCACTGCAATCCAGCCTGGGAGACACAGCAAGACTCCATCTCAAAAAAAAAAAAAAAAAAAAAAAAAGAAAAGAAAAGTCACTATGAGTAAGAGGAGAAGCTTTCCCCAACTAGGATGTAAGCTCTTCTGGACACAGCCATTATCTCTTCCATTTCTTGCCACGTCCACACAACTTGCATTCTTAAACATGTTGACCAACCCTTCCACAATAGCCCGAATCCATCATGGAGAAGAGCATAATGACTTGGACAGTACTAAATACAGCACTTACATAGCATCTATATACCACTCCTAGAGAGAGTCCAATGTGATTCCTGGCATAAAGACACTCAAGAATCATTTTTACAAGCTTTTATAAGCTTACCACAAAACCCTAACTAGACACTTAGATTACAGCAAACTACACCAACCAAATTCAGGCTTAGGATTCATCATTCTTTATAGGCTTATATATGAGTCATCATCAGAGAGCAAATTACACTATTAATTATAGCTTATGAATTCAAGATAAAATGAGATGGTCAGACAGAACTAAGTATTTCTCATATTATTTTGTGGCCAGAGCTTATACCTGCATTTCATCTTGGTGTACTATGGATTGTTATTTTTTGCTTATAACAGTGAAGAAAGTGTATACTGTTATCCAATAATATCTACCACAGAAATCACTATATCTGCTTGAAATGATCGTTAAAACTATCAAAGGTATGACCAACAATCTGAACTCTAGAGAAAGTGAGGCAAGCTAAATATATTGTTTTAGTATTTCACATACCTAGGACATCAAATTCCTAAAATCTAACACACTGAATGCCATACATTTCTCAAGTACTACGACCTAGTTTTTAAGATTATGAGAAACTAAACTCCTTGTCACTTTGTTGCAATTTCAAATTTTCCAGATTCATATCTGAGGTTTTCAAAGCCACAGAATGGCTTAACAAGAGACAAAGATGAACTATAAGCAAAGACTCAGATATAGCTTAAAAGGATATCTATGGATACTAAGGGGGAATAAATCTTCCCTCTCAAGCTTCGAAATTCCTTTAGCACAGAAGTCCTCAAAAATGGAGAGTGGACTTTGTGTTTTTTCCTTTAAAAACTTGATCTAGGCTATTCAATTTTCTTGGTACATGTACCATAAAGGGTAATACAATTTTTTTTTAATCTTATAAAGAAAAAAATAAGAAGAAAGGTAAGTCTCTAGTACCTCAGTGATAAGAGTCACTTTAAATTATAAAAAACAATATGCACAATCTTATTAGATGAAATTAACAGGAGGCATGTTAGACATTAACTGTAAGAACAAGAAAGCAAAGCAAAGTATTTTGTCTTTTGCAAAATCACAATAAAAAAATTCTTAACACTGCCAGGCACAGTGGCTCACACCTGTAATCCCTGCACTTTAGGAGGCTGAGGCGGGTGGATCACAAGGTCAGGAATTGAAGACCAGCCTGGCCAAGATGGTGAAACCCCATCTGTACTAAAACTACAAAAATTAGCCAGGTGTGGTGGCAGGTGCCTGTAATCCCAGCTATTCGGGAAGTTGAGGCACAGAATTGCTTGAAACCAGGAGGCAGAGGTTGCAGTGAGCTGAGATCACGCCACTGCATTCCAACCTGGGCAACAAAGCAAGACTCCATTAAAAAAAAAAAAATTTCTTAACAATACCTAGATGATGTTAAAAAAAAGAGACAAAAATGTGGTTCTACCACAAAGCGAAATTACCTAGCAATAAAACAGCTGCTATACTTTTTACCACAGCACGTTACTAGGAAATGCATCTTGAGAGAATTATTATACATCTTTTCCTTTAGGAACCATTTCGTAACAATTTCACGCTTAATCAAAAATACAACATCAAATAAATAACTGTTGTGATCAGTGGAAGACCACAATTCCACTGCTAATCTAATCCTTTCCAATCATTTTAAAATTCAAATTAGAGTCCTATGAAATAGACATCAATGTTCCATACCTGTTGACATTACATAGGGACTCAAGGTAATAGAGATCATAATTCTAACAAATTCAAGATATCAAGTTCAACCTGAAAATAGCATGCCTACCAGAGTAAACAGCAAAGAATTAATTTATAATATAACTACATCTTCCGTTTTAGAAGATGATGTATCCGAATGGCTAAATTTCCAAAGTTGATATTTCTATCCAAAGAAGTATCAACTAATGCCTTCATTTTCCCTAATTCAAAAAGACACTTGGGGTTATTTTATTGATGTATATCCCACAGTAAAACAATTTTTCTTATAAGAGGCCAGGGTCTCCTGAGTGTGTCAGAAAACATGCTAAGGCACTGGCACCCTCTGTCCAGAGCGGTGATTACAAGGCATAAACTACAAGGAGATTTTCCCTAAAGAGGAAACTGATGCCTCCAGAATGTTGTCGATACTGAACTGCATTCTGCTAGGCTAGACTAACTCCTTATATCTTATATTAGCTATATAAAAATGTCTCCTCAGCTTTCTCACTAGAAAAACAAACTAGGATGATAAAAGCCATCATACTGAGTTTTATGATGTTTTTTGGCTTACAGGTATGGTACTTGACCGTGTCATGCACGGAGGAGACAGGCCCATGAAGTAAGAGCAATGGTTTGAAAGGACATAAATAATAAAATACTGGTCCTTGTTATCTTACCTCCTTTGACCTTTACTAATTTTATATATTTTAAATAGGACACAAGAATAGTAAAAAGTACTATTAAGTCGTCACCTATTATGGTACCTTGGCAGCTTTATTAACCTTGTCTTCATTTTCTCTCTTATACACAAACACTGAAGCAAATTTGCCATCTTGCAGTACAGCAGGATAAACAGCAAGTCCAGAGGGTAAGGTAAATGGTGGTTCCTTCAATGTGTAACTCTTTAAAGCACTGTTCTCTGATCCCATCCCTTATGTACTGAGGCAGTACTGCCACTCTTCCTCAAAGCCAAGCAGATCTAAAAGAAAACAGAAAACAATTTCAAACATGAAATCTCTATCTGCAACATGAACGAGAGATATCCAGACAGAGCCACCCCAGGCTACTCGTTTCTGCAACCCTCGTAACTAGGACATCTGACAGTAAAAATGGTAAATGCTCAGCAAGTTACCAGCAATGCTTGTTAATTAACGACAACTCTAGAGAAAATGCACCTTACTTAATAGTCACATGTAGTTACTGTGCCTCCCCAAACTCTACTGCATACAAACTTTCAGAGGGGAAAGGCAATCGAAAATAGATGAAGGTAATTCATACTTCCTAACTCACTCGTATATCCTTGCTCCCAAAGGAAAATGTTGTAAAACTTTATTATTCAAAAGCAATAAAACTTCTGAATGTCTAAAATAACTTAAGGAAAACAATACAAATTGGAGAATACTTATAACAGATTATTGTTTTAATGTTAGTATGTTGAAAACATTGTTAATATGATGAAAAACATATTAACAAATGAAGAGCTTGTACAAACCAAGTAATATACTAAACACCAGTACAATAACGGGAAGGAAAACAGACAACTCCCTGAAGAAACGCAAATGACAATAAATGTCAGGAAAAGTGCAATCGCACCACTCCTCAAAGTTATGACAAGTAAAAAGGGGAACTGCAAAGGAAACTGCAAAACAGAATCTCCATCAAATGCTAAAAAAAAAAACCCCACAAATACACAGAATTCAAATGCAAACTATGACAAAATACTTCAGTGCTTTCCTAGCGAGGGGGCACAGTTAGAGGCACCAGGAGAGAGGAAAGGATTCTCATGATGTATGAGGAAACTTTTGGATTTTGGGAGGATGGATATATTCACTATCTTGATTACGATGATGGCAATGGGTGATTATAAATGTGAAAACATAAAACTACACTTTTTTCCAGTTTATTCTGTATCAATTACACCTCAGAGTTGTTTTAAAATGAAATATATGCACACATACACACAGAGACTTGAAAATATATATGCTGAAGTATTAACAGAGGTTTGCTGGGGGGGTAGATTATAGGTAATTTTATACACACATGCTTGCCTCCACCTTCCAAATCTACAGTATGAACATACCTTTCTTGACAACAGGGATACAAACTCACAGGATGACAACAGGTAATGCGCAGCACCCCGGCAGTACTGGCAGCATGGCACAGGGACCTACTGTGTGTGCATGGGACCTACTGTGAGAGGCTTGCACTCTGAAGAGAGTGCTATCACAGTGTTCCAACCAGGACAGCAGTTTTAGTACTGCCATGTCATGCCACTTATCTTGAGGAACCAAGAGCCTGAATAGTTTTGTGGAAATCTCCTTATTTTTCAATGTTGGATCAAATGTTTTTTAAGCCTATATAGGCCAAACAACATATGTCTGAAAAATCTGCGGCAGTTTTCAGTGGTGGCTTTACCATAATATAAAAATCAGAAAATAGAGTTCTTACTAACTCTGGCAATATAGAAAGCAAATTGCTACAAATACAGCCAATAATTATATGTGGGCCTTTAAAAATCTGTTTAAAATCTGTATTCTTTGGACAAGTATAAACTCAATAATCATTACATATTGACCCTCTACTGGGATTTTTCCCCACTTCGGTGAAGTTCCAAACAACACTTTCTACACTGAGTATGTGATGCTCCTCAAAACACATGCCTAGAACAAAATTTAAAATGCCCGGGCCTGGCGCGGTGGCTCACGCCTGTAATCCCCCAGCACTTTGGGAGGTCGAGGCGGGTGGATCACGAGGTCAAGAGATTGAGACCATCCTGGTCAACATGGTAAGACCCTGTCTCTATTAAAGATACAAAAAATTAGCTGGGCATGGTGGCGCGTGCCTGTAATCCCAGCTAATCAGGAGGCTGAGGCAGGAGAATTGCCTGAACCCAAGAGGCGGAGGTTGCAGTGAGCCGAGATCGCGCCATTGCACTCCAGCCTGGGTAACAAGAGCAAAACTCCGTCTCAGACAAACAAACAAAAATGCTCACAGATCCACAACCATCATTATATAAGAAACACATGTATAAAGGCTAAGGTTACCTAAAATTGAAGGTTTTCAAAATCTAAAAATGTTTCCGAGGGCAAGAACTAAATCTGCTTTGTAACAAATTCACTGAATTCCTAACTACCTAGCAATGTATCTTTCTTAAAAGTGACAGAGATGCAAAAAACAGTACTAAAAAAATGCAAAGTATGGCAATTATGGTAACACTCACCTTTCTATTGGGACTACAAATAAAAAGTTTACGTGGGACCATGGGGAAAAGCCAACTTTGTTAATCCCCCTATTCTGGAGATGAGGTGCTGGCCAGACTGTGACAACCTCCTGCTGAGTAGGGAGGTGCATGCTTAGCACTTGACCTTGCCACCTCTTCTTGGGCACAATTAATGTTGTCATGTACCTATCCTGGGCCAAAGGACACTGAATTCACAAATTAGCCATCAGTCCCATGGACTGAGTGAAGAGAGAAACTGGTCAGATCATTGTCTCCCCCAGGAATTTAAACTAAGAACAATTTTTGCCTATTAGAAGCATAGCTGAAGGTGGAAGGATGCTATGAGGTAGAGCTGGGGCTATGGCAAACCGAAGCCACATGAAGTCAGAAACGTGTCAAGCACAAGGAAGTCAGCTCTTAGGAAAATTTAAAAAGCAAACAGAGACAGTAGCTTAGTCATGCTTAGGGGCACCTTACTACTTATCCATCTCAAGGCTATCAGAAGCCCAGCCTCAAATCCAATTCCACTCAGATATCCTAACATCCTATTGATACCCTTACAACCAGCCCCCTTGCCCTCAGGTCTCTTGAATGGGTCTATGTTCTTTGAAACTAATTGCCATTTCATAGGCAGAAAACTCTGCTGGTCTCCAACTCCTGCCTGAAAAGCCAGTCCGACTGGAAGAATGAGTTGCAGAAGTGTTACTTTCAAAGGATCTGAAGCTGGTCTAACCTCCTTTCCTCTCTTAGGGAACACAGAACACAGCTTTCCAAAATCAACGCACAGTAAGAGAAAAGCAGCCAATAAGGGGCTGTATGTAAATGACCAGCTTCTTGGCAGAAAATCATGCTGTTTATTTAGTGTTAATATTAGTTTTCACAGGAGATAAGACTGCCATCAGGATTCAGGGTCAGTGCTCTGGCTACATGAATGGCAGTCAGCAGAGGCAGTAGCAACGGACATCTAATTTACTTAGCTATTTCAAAATACCAAAATACCTCCTTGTGGGAATATTGGGCCTTGCAATAGCTATTAACCTTAGATTTTATATGAATTCCACTATAAAGTAGTTAACAAAGTTATAAAGGCATTAAGAAATAGTTAAAATGGATCATTTTTCTTAGCAGTGTATTTGAGGTCCAAGACTTTTTAAAATATCACTTAAAAATTAAAAAGGGATGACTCCATTTCTTGAGAGAACTGGATAGGATGCCATTTTCTTGTTCTGAAAGCATGTGAACTTTGACAGAAGTCAACTGACATCATCAGTGTAATACTGCCAGAGTAGTAGGACTATATTCTATGTTGCCGGTGCAAACTTTACTGGCGGAAAATTAAAAAGGTGTGCTGTTGATTGCAATTTGAGAATGTTATGAAGCAGTAATTCTTCACACCAATATATCTAAAGAGGCACAAATACTGTTAAATGAACAGTGACCTTTTTTTTTTTTTTTTTTTTAATAGGGCCAGGGTCTCCTTATATTGTTGCTGGCATGGAGTGCAGTGGCTCTAACCTACCTCACTGTAACCTGGAACTCCTGGGCTCAAAGTACCCACCCTCCTCAGCCTGCCCAGTTGCTGGGAATACAGTCAGGCACCATCATGCCCTCCAAACAGTGCTTTAAAAATGATAATTCAGCTAAAATGGATTTATTGAAACCTAAGAAAAACACCTGGACTTCCAAAATGCTTTCCTGGTGTTTTGAGGAGGGGGAAAACACAAAATCTTGCTCATCAGCTTTGAAACTAAAAAGTCACAAGGTAGAAAAGGACTTCTAGTATCACAGCATAGGTATTGTGCAGCACTTAGCATCTCCACTCTATTATAAAATCCTGAATTGACAGTCTCTGACTTGAATATGCATCACAGTCTTCCTTTAATAATCTCCCTCCACTCTTTTGCCTACTTGGGCAGCACACGAAGTTTCTGGACCGCTTGTAGGTTAAGAAAACCCTTGTCTAGGTCAAAGGGCAACTCATACACTCAACTAAGAAATCCTTGTGATCTAGGGAAATGTTTCTACCAAATATTTTCTTTTCCCAGCAATTAATCGAGACTATCTTGGTCCTAGCTCCCAGAGCTTGAAAGTTCCAAAGATAATGCCTTGCACTGTGAGTATTAAGGATGCACTGTACTGGCTATTTCACTTTCGTCTGTTACAGGTATGTATCCCCTCTGCGGAACTCAGTCCAGCATTGCTAACTGAGAAGCAATACACAATAAAGTCTTTATGGACCAAAATAATTATGATTTCAGCTCAGAGATACTACATTTTAAAGGCATGAGTCCTTAAAAAGAGCAGTAAGTGACTCCCCCACCCCCAAATTCGAGACCCGACTCCGAGAATTTCACTCGGTTTCCTGAATATGCCCTTCCAAGAAATGTTTCAGCTTTATTCTAAACAGAAAGCATTACGCCAAGACAGGAGCCAGCTGGGCCTTGGGGAAACGGGCACCGGTCTTGGATCACGAATGAGGCCGCCATCCCGAGGGCGGGCGCGCCCCCAGGTTCCCCCAGGGTTCGGTCACGGCCGCCCCGGGACAGTGACTCGCCCAGCCGCGCACCCTCGCCCTGCTCGCCGCGACCCCGAGGAATCGCCAAGGGGCTAGGTCGCCGCTCTCGCTTCACTGGCCCCTCACCTTCCACACCTCCCGGCGAGGACCGACTTCGCGGCTGCCTTGGAGAGCTCTGGCCGCGGGCGCCTCACCAGGCGGGCGTCGCCCGCAAAGTGCAGATTACAAGGCGCCCCGCAATCAACAAGGACAGGTTGCTCCGAAGCGGAGAGCACAGCTCAACCGGCTGCCGGCGCCGCGCCGCGCTCGCTCCCGCGGGGTGCGCAGAACGCAGACCCGCGACCAGGGCGCGCGCCCGCTGCCTCCTCCCCGCCCGGCCCCCTCCCCCACGGCGCAGTCCTGCCAGGACTCGGGGCGCAGTGCAGGGCTCCCTGTTACCTGCGGGAGGGCAGCGGGGGAGGAGGCCGAGGGTCTTGGCTCTGGTCCCCTCTTGGCCCTCCTGCTGGCACCAACCACCCTGCCTGCCGGTAAATCTGTGGCCACTACACCCACAACCTTCTGGGGGCCAGGTTTCTCCCACACCATAGAGACGGGTGCGGAAACGGGATAGAATGCCCGCCTTTCTCCCTCCGACGCCACCAGTGAGGCCAACGAACCGGGAACCGAGGTAGAAGGCCGCACAGAAGAGTCTTAGGCCGGTGCCATCTTGAGTGTGGGCGCCGTGACGACACCGAGTTGCACTCACTGCCCCAGCGGTCAGCGGTCTAGTTAATCCACGAAGATGTCCCCTGTCCAGACGTTTGGGTCGAATGCTCAAGTTTGACTTAAGTTGAATTTTTAGGATTTTAACAGCACTTTAATTTCATTTCCGCCCAAATCTAAAATGGCTGCTGGTCACTTCTAACAAATAGAGGTGAAGGGCGGAGAAAAGGAGTACCGGAATTAGCGAGTACTTTCAGGGGAATGACGTCACTCACCTTGCAGCTCTGATTGGCTGGGCTGTGGGGCGGAGTCGTGCGGAGATAATGCTGAAGCTGCGAGGTTCTGGTGATTTCGCTTAATCCTTGAGAGGGAAGGTCCGAATCACACTTCATTCAGCTGAAACTAATATTTGGAAATTTTAGTTTTAATGCAGTAGTCTCCCCCGTCCATGCTCTCTGCAGTTTCAGTAACCTGTGGTCAACCTTGGTTCAGAAATAGTAAATTGAAAACTCCAGAAGTAAACAATTTTTAAGTTTCAAACCGCCTGCGTTCTGAGTAGCCCTATTAAATCTCTGGCCATCCATTCTGTCCCACCCTGGGCGCGAATCATCTCTTTGTCCCGGGTAGCCCCGCAAGTGTACAGTATCCACCCATTACTCACTCATTACTCACGCAGTAGCTGCCTTGTTAACAGATCCACCTGTAGTGGATAATGAGAGAAAGACACCTGCTTATGTTCAAGTGACCCTTATTTTACTCAATAATGGCTGCAAAGCACAGGAATTGTGGTGCTGATAATCTGGTTATGCCAAGGAGAAGTTGTAAAGTGCTTCCTTTAAGTGACAAGGTGAAAGTTCTGGACTTAATAAGGAAAGAAAAATAATCATATGCTAAGGTTGCCAAGATCTATGATAACAAATTATGTATCCATGAAATTGTGAAGGAAAAAGATTCGTGCTAGTTAACTAAGCACCTATCATGCACTGTGGCTGTAACTATTGTAGTTTGAGGTTCAACAGCAAAAGATTGGAAAGGGATTACATTTGTGGTGGGAGACATGAACAGAAAACGTGTTCCATCTGAGCAGTGTTTGGCCAGAAAGTGTTGAGCCTATAGGAAGACTTCAGAAAGGGATCACCTGAAATTAAGCACACCTCAAGCCATTTACTGCAAGTAAGGGATGGCTACACAGATTCAGGAATAGGTTTGGACTGAAAACCATAAAAATAACTGGAGAGACCACATCTGCTGATGAAGAAGCTGCTGCATGTCTGGCAGGGCTGAAGAAATTGATGAAGGAGAAAGGCTTCCAGGAGATAGATGGAGAAGCTCAGAAAGTTATTCAGGTAGCAATGAAACCGCCCTTGCAAAATTATGACTAAAACAGTGAAAGAGATCCAACTTAACCAACTCCATCTTGTCTCTAACCTCCAAGCTGCCCTTGTTCATTCCCGGGTGTAGGCTGAACTAACTTTGGGAGGAACTTAGCTTATAACTTACAGTTTAAAATAAAGACAATAAAGGCCCTTTCCCAAAGCAAACCTCCTTCTTGCCTGGGATCTAGACTACTAACATTAGCCACAAGATTAGAAATTATGGTTTAGGAGTCATACAGCTAGAGGCCACAAGATTCTGACCCTCCCTGAATTGCTCCTAAGATCAGTGCTTGAGTTGTTTTGCAGACCCTCCACTTGATGGATCAGATGGCACCCACTCAGATAGATAAACTGGCCCATCTGATCTTGTGACCCCCACCTCACCCAGGAACTGACTCAGAGCAAGAAAACAGTGCTGCCCCGTAATTTCATCTTCAACCCAACCAATCAACACTCTCTGACTCACTGCCCCTCCCCATCCACCAAATTGTCTTTAAAAACTCTGACTGCTGGGGGAGATTGATTTGAGTAATAATAAACCTCCAGTCTCTTACAAAACCAGCTCCTTGTGAATTCTTTCTCTATTGCAATTCCCCTGTCTTGATAATTTATCTCTATCTAGAGAGTGGGCAAGGTGAATCCACTGGTGGTTACAGCAAGACCAGTTGATAAAGAAGGATTTGTCAATATGCTTGATGAAAAGGTGGAAGAACATATCAAAGGCCTCTATTCATTCTGAAGACAGGTTTAACTTTCTCATATTAGAAGCAGGGCTTAATCTCCCTGGACAGTTTCCAGTTCTCTGCCTCCTCCCAATGTGGTCACTCCAGACATCTGCCTTGTATGACCACCTCTGGTGACCACTGCACTATCAAACCATCAGGTACAAGCTACATGTTTCATCCCGTTGTCTCCTGTACCCCATGTACACCGTGCAGATATGCCTCAGCAACCACCTCTTCGTCACAGTGTGATGCCAGGGAACTTTGAAGCCAGCCAATTAGAATTCTTCAAGAGGAACCTGGTTGGGTATAACATCCAGGACCACAGTAAAGGCTTTGGCCCGCAAGTCCCTCTGTCTTGTTTCCCACCCACTGGTTTTGTGTGTGTGTGTGTGTGTGTGTGTGTGTGTCCCCCTTCCCACTGGCCCTGTGAGGCACGCTGTCCTCTTCTTATGGATCTGTAAGTAATGGAACTGCTTGTTATTTCACATGTTTTGCTCACCTCCTCTGGGTCTCACCTTTCCTATACACCCAAACCCGACTTCTTTCCTGGTTAGGGCTCTCCTAGAGAGTGGCTGTCTTGGTTGGAATAAACCAGACATGGGGCAGACCAGAGCCACAAATGTGCCTGCTAATATAAACAAGCTTCCTGTGAAAGGAACCTTTTGTCATGAGTCAGACACCTAGGAATTAGGCCATCTGCCAGGATAAAGAAGTATCCCATGAAAGGCACACTGTAAATATCCGAGCCCCATCAAACAAAAGCTAACGTTTATAGCCACTCCCAGAGAGAGACCTCAAGACCAAATCAGAAAAGAAATACAACACCTGTACTCTAGGTATACTAGCTCCAACATCCATTCCCACTCCTCTCCCCTTCTCCCTTCAATAAAGAAGAAATAAAAAAGATCACTTTCTGAGCCTACTTTGCCAGTAGGATGGTCACAAGTTCTGGCCAGTGAAACACAGCAGAAGTCTTGGAGGGGTTGGGGGAGGATAGATAGTGGATTAGGGAAAGCTTTTTCCTTCCTGATAAAGGAAATGATTGTGGGTGGAACAGCAGCAGCCACTCAAGCACCAGGAGACAGCAGGAGAACATGCTAAGGATACAGAGTTGAAAGACAGAAGAAATGGGATTCTCTTGCCTTTCACACTATCCCTGGAGAGTTGATAACTATGTTTTTCTTCCTTTTACAGGAGGAGTAGAGATGAGTCCCCTCAACCAGTACATGAATCTTCTGCAGTCAACATAGTTACCTACTGGCCCCCCCTCTTCCCAGTGTCCTCACCTCTGAGTCTTTGCTGGCCTTCCCACCCCATTCCTTACTCCCTAATCTTATGTCTAGATGTGCTGAGCTCCAGGGTATTCTCTGTAATCATTCCTCAGCCTGAAGGACTCTGTACATTCTTTCATTTCCCCAAGGTAAACCCACTCCTCCAAATACCAATGAGAAGGGAATATTTTGCTGCGAATTGAGTAGGAACGAGATGGGAGGGAGTTTGACACCCAGTGCTTCCCCTCTTCACTATTCATCTACTCACTTATTTGCTCTTGATGTTACTCAGGTCTCTGAACAAATGTCACCTGTTCAGACTCTTAAAGATTTGGGACATTGAAATCACAGGCTAAGTTGAATATTTTTGTCCAACCAAGATGCAATTCTTTCTGTCCAGTGAAAAATATAACCCCAAAGTTTATTACTGCATTAGAGAGCATTTATTGTTTTAAAATCTAATCTAGTAATCTTACCATATTTCTCTATAAAATTGCTTGTAAATATGTAGCTACACAAATGCTCTTCGAACCAATCTTAATGTCTTTTTAGTTTCCTCACTAATGTGTTGCTTTTATATTTACATGAGAGTTATAATTATATTTTGAAAATTCTAATTGAACAGTTTATCAGAGACAGCTCCCCTGAAAACACTGTCTAAAGCAACACCTTCCCTGCCTCTTCTTTCTTTTGACTTTGCCTTATTTTCCTTAACATCAATGCACGTATTTGTTCAGCATCTTGTCCCACAGCTAAAACATCAGCTCCCTTAAAACAGGGCTTCCTTCCTTCATTTTTCTTGCCTGCCATATTTCTAGCACATAACAGTGCCTAGAACCTGCTAGATCCTCAGTAAATATTAAACACACAAATGAATTTATTGAGAGCAGGCTGCACATTCCAGGCACCCTCCCTTCATCTCTCTGCCTCCCAGCCCTTACCCCACAGAGCCCTCTACAGTTCTGGTTCTAGTTCTGAGCGCCCTGGAGCTGCCCTCTGAGCTCCTTCTGCCTTTCTTGTGCACAGCAATCTTGTATTCCCTCACTGATTCCTCAGTCCACATTTTAAATATGTCTAAGGCCAGGAAAGAAAAGGATCTCCAGCAACCCGCATCCACGGTCCTTAGAATGTGGCTGGTGGGCCAGCTGTAAACAAAGAGTTTGTTTTCTTAATAGAAATAATTTTTTTCTTGTCATACTATTTCAGGCTCAACGTGAATTTTACTTTCAGCCAATCCTCTTCTTAATTCAAATCAAAACATGTCAAATTTATTGTATTCAGCTTGACTTTTAGATGTTCCGGGTTTTTTTTTAAATTAATCTTTTTCATGTTTCTAACTTAGACTCTCAAGTAGATGTAAGTATCTTGGATATATTCTTGGTTCTGTAGAAGCCTTAGCCATCCAACTTAATTAGTTTTTCCAATTTGATTTGAACTAACTTTTTACAAGCTCTACCTGAAAACCAAATGTACTACCAAAATATTGAGGTAGTACATTAAGATAGAATTCCCTTGAATAACTTGAATACAAGAATTCTATCTTAATATACTACCTCAATAATTTGTGTAATTGCATAATTGCAATTAGAATCTAGAAATGTAAAAGAGGGGAAACTTGCATTAAAGGACAAATGCTCCTTCAAGCATCTTTCAGATAAATACATATAGCATCCGTAGGTAGTGGATACCTTATAGAAAACCAACCTTGACCTAAGCCACTTTGCTCTTTCTTTGTTTTTAGGAACTTTGCATAGATATTGGAAGATTTCCCTAATGAGAAATATGTCTTTTCCAAGTTCCACTATAACCTTGCTACCTCAACAAAGAGAATGAAAGCAAGTCTGAGGTGGGATTCTACTACACATTCGCAAGTTTATTAGCGAGGTTTAAAGACAGACATTAGAGCTGTTCATACAAACTCAGTGAGGTTCCACTTGTCTAGGAGCGTGGACAGCATCTTGCATGAAAGGTTCATCCTCTGCAGGAAGATGGGACAGTATTTTAATAGCAGATGCAGCTATCCTAATTAGAACTGGATGACAAAAACCTTACTATCAGTTTCTCCAAACGGGGCTGGTTTGAAATCCTAAATCTAGGGCCCTTTCCAAAGTGTGCAGATTACTAGATCTCCTAGATTCTTATATACCAATCATGTAAGGCTGATGCCTGGCAACATTTTTATTTATTCCGTCCATCTTGAAATTACTCATTTGGTCATGAAAATTCACTATTAACATCTTTAAGGCCACTAGTATTGATCTGAGTTAGAGAGAGCTCAAAAGCTTGTAGTGGGAATATAGGCTTCTCATTGAAATCTTTCAGATGCTGAAACTCTCTGAAGTGGGAAATTGCTTCTCAACTTCAAAGTGCACATGAATCATCTTGGAATCATGCTCCCAGGAGACAGATTTGGGGCATTATATGTCTACATCTTCTTTAAAATACTTCAGCCTTGAGGGAGATATAGATGTGTGCTAACTTAGATCTGTCCTGTAGGGGCAGTTGATTAATATTTGAAGGCAACATGAACATCCTCTGGAAGCATTTTTAAAAATACAAAAGCTGAGGCCTCACACTAGATTGTCCGAGTCAGAATCTACATTTTTTTTTTTTTTTTTGAGACAGAGTTTCGCTCTTGTTACCCAGGCTGGAGTGCAATGGCGCGATCTCGGCTCACCGAAACCTCTGCCTCCTGGGTTCAGGTAATTCTCCTGCCTAAGCCTCCTGAGTAGCTGGGATTACAGGCACGCACCACCGTGCCCAGCTAATTTTTTGTATTTTTAGTAGAGACGGGGTTTCAACATGTTGACCAGGATGGTCTCGATCTCTTGACCTCGTGATCCACCTGCCTCGGCCTCCCAAAGTGCTGGGATTACAGGCTTGAGCCACAGCACCCGGCCAGAATCTACATTTTAATAAGATCTCTAGGTGATTGTCAGGCACCTTCCTTGCAGGGAACTTCGAGAACTGCCTAAATGATCTAAGGCCTCTTTCCTTCGGCCTCACTGCTGTCCTCCTGCTCACTCCCTCTGGTCCACGCTCAGTGGCCTTGCTGTCCCGTCAGCATGCCAGGCCAGCTCTTGCCTGAGGACTTTTGCTCTAGCGCTTCCTTTTCCCGGTCATTCTCCTTTCCCAGATAGCCACTTGACTAAGTCTCTTCGATTTTTTTTGTTCACATCTCATCTTCTCAGTGAATCCTATCCTAACCCAACCCACCCTATCTAATTCTACGACTTTTACCCTTCTTCCTGCTACACTTCCAATGCTTCCTTTCCTGCTTTCTTTTGCTTTTTTCCTCCATAGCACTGACCATCTTCTAAACAGCCATATACTATATTTTCTAGATTGTAAAAACTATAGTTTTCACATTTTAGCATCCCATTTTATTACAAATGGCATAATATAATTTGTCAAAAATTTTTTCTTAGTGGTACCAAATATACTGATGGTCCCTAAATGTGATGGCATCACAGTTGATGAAATATGGCAATTTGTTTATGTATTATGGCTTTTGGCTTTGAGAGAAAAAAATTATTTGAGACTTTAAAATAGG